GGGCATTCGGCCAGTGTTGACAGCTGGGGACGAATCGGGTGAGTCGGAAGGGGAGTCCGACAGCGAAGAGGAGTTGGAAACGGTGTTGGGGAGAGAGGGTTTCGAAGTGCCGGCGCCAGGGTACGACACCTCGTCGGAGTCGGACGACGAGGAAGACCGTGTTGGTTTCGAGGAGAACGCGATAGTCGAAGATGCCTCCGATGGGGAAAAGGAGGACACGTCGGAAAGTGAGGAAGATGATTCGGCGAAGCGCGTCGAATTGCCGGCCATCGTCGGCTTTCGGCAACGCCGGCCAAGTCGGAAGGCATTGGAGTCCGCTTCAATAAGCGAACTTCCGGTGGCAAAGAGGACAAAGCGGGAGGTTAGCCGAGACATATTCGACGTAACATGGGCTGTGCAGAGAGGACGGTCGAAAAGAAAGCAGGCATAGCTGTAAAGGGAGTGTCCGGAGACTTTGCAGCATGTTCGGCATAAAATAACGGGCCTCCGGATTCAAAATCGCGAACATTTGAAGAAGCTAAGCATGACGTATTGAGTAATGAGCAATGAAATGTCATACGAAGTGCTTTGCTCTTCCAATGCCTCGAAGTAGAAGTACATCATGGTATATCTTCATGGAATAATGCAGTGGCGCTGCCTAGACGCCTGAGGCATGCATTTCGCGCCTTTTGGCGAGTGTACGATGCTCAAATTGCATGTCACAACACCCTAGATTACATAATTGTTGCTTGGAAGTCATACATGAAACTTTTCATTGGTTATATGACGTTGAAGAAGGATTTCCATGTCATATTCGACAGGTGCTGCAGTTCTGCGCCAGTTTTTGCTGTTCAGGGCCTATTTTCTTTGGATTTTTGTGGACTTTTTTTGACACGATAGAATGCTTTCAACCAAGGGGGTTTATGCATGGGGGGAAGCTGGGATGCTAAAATGATTTTGTGCATTATTTTTGAACGGAGATGTGCACCGCTAGCACTACCTTTTCTTATCACCAGCAGCAGACTGGCGCAGTTTGCTGCTGGCACAAGAGAAAGCAAGGCTGGCGGTGCACATCTCCGTTAAACTCGGGATTTGAGCACGCAGGCGGGATCCCAGCTTCCCCCCATTGGTCGATACTGGTGTTACACGTCATTCTGTCGTGAGAATTTGCGCCTAGCCATATGGTCAAAGTAGGGGGGCCAAAAGGCAAAAATGGTACTGTATGCACTATTGCCAGACCTTACTGGCTGGGCTTAGGGTGGCCGAGGAGTGGTTTGGGGGGGCCCCTAGACCCCCCCTGAAGGATGCAAAAGACTCGACTCAATTTGAGTCGGTTATGACCAAGTTACGCCATGGGAACCCCTGTTCCGAGCTGGAATTACCGTCCTACCACCGAACAGGCCTCTGCTGCAAGTACTCCTCGTTGAAAAGGGCCAAAAGACTTGCCAGCATAAGCTCGTTCTCGCCTATCCCTTCTATGAAATCCTCGAGGACGTCATACCCTCCTAGCTGGTAGAAGCGCTCAGGGGGTTTTGGCAAGTCTTCCAGCTCCATTATGAATCTTTCTTGGAAAGGCTGGCAGTGTGAGGGCAAAAAGGACAGGAAACTAGCGGCGGCAGAACGATGATCTTCTTTGTAGACTGCGTGGTAATGAATGGGAGTCAGACCTTTACCAAACACCGCCAATTCCCCGACTCTCCGTCGGGGCAGGGCAAATGTGCGGTATTTTCGATTCGATACCGCCGCGAGCTTTCGAACCGCCGAGGCTGGAAATACCGTCCTACCACCTTAAGTCAAAAATGAGTTCAATTTCTTCAACTTCAAATTCAATTCTCTTCAAGTTCAAGATGGCGGCATTAGGGTTTGCTTCATTTGCTGGATCCTAAGCCCTATTAAATTTGTAGGGGACTTCTTTTGTGCAGGTCGTCAGGAAGCTGCAGAGCTGCATCTTTTCCAAGTTTCCTTTGCAGTCTTTTGATCTGGCGCCTTCGTGGTTCAAAGCGACAGCACTATGTAATGGACATTTATGCGGAAAGCTGCTGAGGACACTTTGAAGCATTGTTGAAGGCTCCCAGTACATCCAGATTGAAGCTTGGTTTTGGAAAAAGAGCATTTTGTAAAATTCGAAAAGCGGCTTGCCAGCGAAACCCGAGTCACATGGGAGCAGAAAGAGCTTCAGAGAATCTGGACCTGAGATACCATCTGTCCAGTATACAATGTTTCATGCGCGAGCAAAATAAGCAAATCACATTCCTTGTCAAGGCGGGAAGTAGATATGGGGGCATGCTTCAGTAAAGGTTCGAGGAATGTTTCTGAAAAGAGGTCAGAGCTACACAAAGAGCCGGACGGGCCTGGTAGCCTTGCGGCACGAATTGCAAACGGTGAATTTGAGAAGATGAGTCAGGCAACATTGAGCCTGGCAAACGGCAGAGTGGGGATGGAGCTGAACGCACAAGTGTCAGACGCGCAGATGCCGCTTATCCTGGAGCTCTTCACTTCTCAGGTTGGTTCAAGTGCTCATGCCTCCTCGCATTAAGTACCTTCAGCAGTTCAAGTAAAGTGCTAGAGACAGGACATTGAGCAGATTTCCGCAAAGTGTCACTTGTCTTGTGATTAATTCGTAGCTCATCCGATGAGACAGTTGTGATCAGTGCCTTCTAAGCAACTGAAATGTTGAGCTTTGTGAGCACGATTTATGCAATGCCGAGCTTGGAGCTTGACGGACTGGTAGAAGAATCCTCTACTGACTGATGGCAAGTGGTGTGAAGGCAAGTGGTGGTGGCTATTGATTACGGGTTTGAGCGGTAGCTACTGGAATGTTTCTTATCAGTATACATTTAGGCGTGTTTGAAGAAAAGGTCCATGACAGGTGACACATATCTTGTTGAGCCATCATCGATTACTTTGCCTGGCAGCCACAGACGGTGCCTTGCTCTGAAACCTTGCGTTTACAATCCAACGTCAGGGATCTGGGTTCCTTCTTTTACATGATAAGGAAGGACTGCAGTGACCCTTTTCTACAAATAATGCAAGCGCGTATTGTGTGGAAGGTAGGACGTTCCCCGATCAATTTTGTTCAGGGTGCTTTCCTGTTTGAGCCGTGATCCTTTTTTATGTCCTTCAAGATTCCTGGTTTTCTCTAGTAAGCCTGTCGTGTCTGAGACCTGAGTTTGTGTTGCATCTTGATATGAATCTTTCTGCAGAGGCTTTGTGAAAGAGCACTGATTGGCTGGAAGGCAGAGCAGATGCATGTCATGCGCGCTTGTCTAACTCGCTTGTCTAACTCGCTTCTTGTCATCCCCGTGTCTCTTTCAATGCCAGCAAGAGCATAGAATCTGCTCTTTCACCGATTATAAAGTTTTTACCCTCTCACCCGACTGATCTGAGAAACCCACACCATCTGCAGGGTTGTTCTTCGTGCCCCCCCGCCGACGACCTCCTGAAGCATGTCGCAAAGCAGGGGGCCATCAGCGGGATTCCAGTGATCCCCCTGGTGTACCATGTGGACTACTGGGACCACCTCGGTTGGACGGACCCCTTTGGACGGAAGGAGTGGACGCAACGGCAGAGGACGTACGCAGAGAAACTAGGGGAGGGAAAGAAGGTGTACACACCGCAGCTGGTGATCCAGGTGAGCGGAAGGAAGATTGAATGTAAGCTCGGGGTTAAGCGCTCAATCAGTTTGCTTGACAGTCTACTGTCCCCATGTCTTTTGGATTGAGATGGGCTTCAGAGTAGTCCACCTGTGATTGGTTTCTTAAGCCACACTGCCAGTACTATTTTTCTTAAAAGCCGAGTTTCAGGTTGACACCTTGAACTCTGAGTCAAAGTTTGGGCCTGCCCGCTGTTGTGCTCTGCATGCTTCCAAGAATCTAGCAGGAGCATCAGGGTCGGCGTTTGCAGCTTTGCGGCATCGCAGTCATGATTGTAGAACAACAGATATCTTGTAGTAACAACCTTCCAAACCAAATGACCGTCAGTTTGCCGAGCGTCTGCTTTTGACTGACTCGAAATTGCATTCTGGATGCTGCAGGGATCTGTCGGCGAAGTGGGCTCCAAGAAAGATGCCATCGTCCGAAATGTGTCACAAGCGGCCCGGTACCCCCCTTTCACGGCCAAGGTGAGCAGACAACGAGGTGTACTAAGTATGCGGAGTTGACGGTCTACGCAGAAATGGGGCCAGAGGCGACAGAACGAAGACTTCACATAACCGTTGTTCAAACGTGGTGATGCTGTTGGGGTGGAAAATCGCCTCCAGGAATGAAGTCGAGCATCCCAGAGTTCCTTTTTCCTCGCCTGTTAAAGACAGCGCGGGGTTGTATCCAGAGAACACGGAGAAGCGGTGCGTTAAGATGGTGGAGCGCGGTTTTGGAACTAGCTGTGCACTAAAGCACGTCCTTTTTGTGAAGACTGACCGCGTTTCCTGGTGGGATTGTCCTGTTGGGGATCGTCCTCTTTCTGCACGTCCTCTAGTTTGCCACGAAGGCAGGATTTGGTCATACTCCTTCCTTTTGGATAACTCTTATACGGTTTGGTCCTCCTTGATCCGTTTCTCCTCTCCTCTCTAGAATCGAAACCAAGTTCGATCGGCACAACGTGAAACGGTTCGCTCTTTCCGCTTCCGGGTGTTTGTATCATTTTCTCAAACCCTTCTCGTCCCTTTTATCGGACTTAAGTCCAATTTACACGACCCGGAAACGTTTTTCAATCCTTTTCAGATTACTCGGATTGCGATAATTCTGTTTCGCATTAGCCAGGCTTTTCAATTACACCAAGTCTTACGACAACTCCGTCTTAACCGAGCGTTGTTGTCAAGCTTCTCACCTCAGAGATCAACCAGACCTTTCATTTCATATTGCACCAACTCAGGTTGACGACTACGTGTGGTCATGTCTCCGCCGCACGTCCCCCAAAAACGAGGTCGGGAGTATCCAACAAGGAGTACTACATGTCTATCCGTTTGTTCCCTTTTCTGACGCTTCATTCGCTCCTGTAACCTCCCTCCAGATCGAGGTAGAGCTTGACCTACACAGCCTGGAGCTCGAGGTCGACCTGACGATGCAACCGCTGCCTGCGGCCTACGCTTCGCTGACGTCATCCGCTGACGTCATGGTAGCCCTGTACGAGGACGGGCTGCGGACGGACGTGCGGTCGGGGGAGAACTCCGGGCGGTCCCTGGAGAGCGTGCACGTGGTGCGGTCTCTGGAACGAGCCTTCTCGGTACCAACCGGCGAATCGAACCGGGAGGAAAAGAGAGGGAAAGTGCGGATGAAGCTGGCCGGGGGGAAGTGGAACCGGTGTGGGCTGGTGGTCTTTCTGCAAGATGGAGACACGTGGCGCGTTTTTGGAGGCACGCAGATACAGCTGTCGGACGACCTGTGAGGTAGCTTTGCAAGGTGACATATGCTTGCAAATTTTTAAAAGAACTATGAACTTCTGCTTGCGAAAGTCAAAGAAGTACTGGTCAATGTGTCGGTTCTTACATTAAAGCGAAGTCCCGCTTCTGGTGAACCAGACAGAAGCACAAAGTGCTGGATTGCAGACAAACAAACGTGTGTACAGATTGCAAATTATAGGTAAAAATCCTTCCCGCCGCAAAACGTGCGAGGGTTCGAAATCTGAAAGCTATGCGATGTTTTCACGTGGTCAACGTTGAGTTTGGCGAACGACTCTGCCACACCTCTCTCTCTTGTCCTTTACTCTTCTCAAGTTTCTTTACCCGTGAGCCTGTTTTTCGCGCTTAAGCGAGCAGATCGTCCACTTTCTGATTTCCTGGCTTTTAGTTTCCTGCAGCGCTTTTTTGGTAATATCGAGCAGCAACCAGCTTGATTCACAAGCGAGCCGCCTGACGGTCGTCGTAGGGCATCTGACGAGACGGTGGCATTTGTCTCTCCCTTCTCGTTGCTCTACGACGTGGACTTGTGAGTGCCAACTTCTCCCAGTTGTGAGACCAGGTTTTGCGAAACTCCTTTTTGATAACTGGTTGTGATTGTGTCACTTTGTCAAAACCGTTCGATAATATTTTTTGTTATGGCGGCACCAGGAGAACTGCAAATTTTCCAGTTTACCAAGCAATCTCTACCGCCCGTTTATGCTCCTCTTCCAGCATCGTGCCTCTCTGCGAGTATTTGACAACCTTTGAAAGCTGGCTTGGCTGCAAGGTTCCTTGAATGGGGACCAACAGCGTCTAAGTGCTGCGAGGAATCTGGTCTCTGGGACAGCGCGACGATTGATAGCGTGTTGGTCTGGGTCTTGGAGGTTTCTCTTATTGGTCGATTGTGTTTTTAGAGACTTTCCGAGCTTCTTTGAAGGACAATCAATCACCTCTTGGACCGTGGCACCTGTAACCAAGATAATATGTCCAGGCAATGACAACCGCTTGACTGGTTGATCCTGGTAGCCAAAGGCGAAGTTATGCGGACCTTGAGCCACCAATTACTTCTTACTATTTTTTTCGTTCTTCTCTTCCCCTCCTTTCTTTGTTAAGGAGCGAGGCTTCAAGCTTCTCATGTCGAAAGGTCAGCTTTGCGTCCTTGTTCGCATTCGCTGGCGTCTTGTGGATAACGCAATCTTCGAAACGAAGCATGCTTGGCGCATCTTTGGTCGACAACTCTGTCAGGGGTCTCCGAATTGCAGATAGCCTTCTCAAGCGTGGCCCCGCGATTTTAAAGGATCAAGTTTGAACACGTCAAGGTGCGGTCAGCCTTTTGGAGCATTCGGCCGACATGATTAGCGGATGGGCGTAATAGTAGATGACAAAATGCCATTCGACTGCGTTCGCAGTGATTTCGTAAGCGACCGCGACTGCCTCTGGTTCTGCTGATTGGTCGCCGAGACGTCGGTATCGGAATTCTTTTTCGAGGCGGGAGCTCAATCATCGAAAGATAATGGCATGTGGAACCGCGGCCTTCAGATTGTGCTTTGCCTTACTTCCCGCTTGTTCCTGTTCTAGCTCTTTGTTGCGATTGTACACTTCTCATGTGAAGGTCCTTTCCAAACGTCAGAAAGTTGTTTCAAATCTCTGCTGGCTCGACATGCACTTTTTGCTTCCATTCAGAGACTTGTACTGAAAAGAGCGGGCCTCTGTCTCTTCTCGTTCAATTCTTCAAATAGTGACCGGCTGCTGTCAAAGGTCAATGCTGAGTTCGTTAACCACGTTCTGGCACTGTATTTCCCCCACAGACTGATCGGGCAAACGGAGATGGACAATTCTTCCAGAACCCACGGCAGTTTAGATGAGCACGAAAATTTGTAAGAATCTGGAATGCGCAATGTCAAGTCACTATCAGTTTCAACCAATCTTGCGGTGGTCGTAGCTTGCATTCTTTGTCAAGTATGGCAATGGCGTTCGCGTTTTGCCCGCTCATGGCTGCCAACAGGGTGGTCGGATGTAAGCTATGAAGCCGATCAAGCTCTTGAAGCATTGTCTCTGACACCCAGCTCGACGCTAACCCGCGCTTTTACATATGAACCCGTTCGCCTCGGACCGCCGTCTTGTTGTGATCACCGTGTCTATGTTGTGCTCCATAGCGAGAAAATTTGGCAATGCTGAATCTCCCAGTGGCTGCTGATCACGGCAACCTGGCTGTGAATTCTTCGAAGCCAGCTCCTCACTCGGGTCGTCTGTAGACAGCTGTTAGTACCCTAAGGATCCAGGCGCAACATGTCCAGTCTGAGCAGCGGGGCTTTGCCCCCTCGTAGACTCTTCCTGGTTGTCAAAACCTGTCAGAACAGTGGCGTTTGGAGTTTGTGATTGGCATCGCGACGCTTGTCGAGAAGCAACGCCTTGATATTCATCCACCTACGGACGTTCGTATGGCAACTGAATACTGTACCGGAGAGAGTGCGTCAGCCGTGCGTCCTTCAAGTTTAGGCAGGTACAAAATGGCCGGGTATCAAGACGTCAATGTAGTGAGTCATCCATTAGTGCGTCTCTTTGTTCAACAATGTTATTCTGTCCGTCTGGTTCAGAACGGGTGCTGAGTCCGGCCGTCCAGCGTTGACGAAGCAGAAAATCTTTGACTTCCGTGCGGGCAGCACGCTTTTAACGCTTAAAGTTTGCCACGCGGTTGCCTTCGTCGATAATGAAACTGCGACTTGCGATTGTGAGTGCTCTTTCTGGCTTTTTTCTTGCGACTAAACATGACCGCGTCTCCTCAAGTCGGCCCTGACGATCTCTCCTCCTCTGTTGGAGGAAGTTTTGGAGCATATCGACCTGAGCCGCGTGGACCCGTTTTTGCCGGTCCTTCCGTTAAAAGTTATCGCACTTCATGAACGCCTGAGCAGTACTGGTGGCGAGAGCGGCATGATTGACTGCAAGTATAAGCAGAGTTCCAGGTCATCCTACCCCGCAATCAGGGTTCTGTATCTATACCTTAACTGGGCTTTTCAAACGAAGCCGCGCACAACTTGGGCCCGCTTCATTTCGACCTTGAAAAATAAGCAGCCGTTGGGTCGCTGGCTATCTGTCATTGCGCATGCCCTTTGATTTACTCATCAAAATTACCGCCCTCAGTACACTGTTACTACGTGTTGTTCTGCCGTTATGCCTTCTGTTTACCTTTGCGTTTTGCGCAGTGTCTGGTCCCTAATCATGGTCGTCAGAAGACCACTGTCTTGAAACAACAGCACATTTGACGTATCTTTTTCTCAGAAACATGATTCTTCTCCAGGAGATCTCACACGGTGTTTCACCTTTTATCATTTGCACCCACTCCACTACCAAGAGCAGGCCGAGCTGTCTGGGCAACGATGAGCTCATGAGATGCGCAATCACAGCGCAGATACCTTTCCAAGTCCGGCTCTGAGCCATGGCCAGAGCTTTGAGTTGCCTTCAATCCTTTCGCGTTCGCTCTCCGCCTCGTCCCTACGCGGACTTTGAACGAGGGATAGGCGGATGCTTCCGCACCTGGCGACTGAGACCAACGCGCATAAACAGCATTTCCGGTCGCCGAGACTTACACGATTTGACTTATTGCAGCGACGGTAACAGCCGGTCTTGCAGGTTTGAGGCCGCCGTGACAGAGTCGAGCATCACAACCAGATCAACACCTTATGTGTCCTAGGTCTAGTAGGTCTATGAAGAGTATACGTTACGGATTGTCAAGGCACTCACTGCTGTGCTTTGTGCTTCGTGTCGGAATCCCTCTGTAGAGGGATCCCTTGCTTCACGACTGTTAATAGAGCTGACACAGGCTCGTATTTGGACCAGCGAGGCATAGACTTACACAAGGGTTTCCAGCGAAGTACGGCCCATCAAGGCGTGGCCCCCGCAGTATGGGACACAAGCTCGAAAACAGAAATCAGTTCTGCCCAATGCGATACCCAGCTGAGGGTGCGAGTCAGGGATGCTCCTCTTGCGTGCCACGTGGATCCGGCCGGGCGGACGCCTTCGGACGGCCGGAACGGATGCAGCGGAAGCGGACGTCAGGAACGGACGTGTTTGTGCGTCCACGTGGAAGGAGTGCTTGAATGAACGGCGTTCAAGGCCGACGATTTCAGGTATGACGTCAGCTTTTCTTGTGTGATTTTATCTCTGCATTGCATGGCCCCGGTCGTTGAGTTCTTACACGAACAATCGAAAAGGGCCCTTTCCTCCGTCACAATTGTAATATTTTGGTGTGTTACAAGACTGTACTTCTTGCGTCAGCCAAAAGGTTTCCACTTAAAAGGGTCGTCCTTTAATTTGTTTTCGCCCTCGTTGACCGATTTTGTGGATTCCTGTCAAAAATTCACGCTGAAACTCGCCAATGACGCTTTGACACTGCGCTACTGCCCAGAGCTTGTCTTTGGCAAGTAGGCGAAGTTCTTCCGACAGCGAGTCGGCTGCTTCTGAAGATAAAGGATCTGCAGTGACTTGTTTTCTGGTCTATATGTTGCTAATGTTGCCACTACCGTTTTCCTATCAAGACCTCCTTTGGGTGTAGGGAATGAGGTTCTGCGTTTATAGCTGCTCACAGCAACCACAAACTTTCGACAGTCGCGCCTTCAAATCATGTAAAGAAATTCTGGAAGACTAGCAGCTGGACACTCGGCCTGCTCGCTTTGAAAGTCTTCTCCTGAAAATCCTGTCTTGGTTTGTTTCGCTTTATAGTCAAGACACCTTGACAATGCCGAACACAGCATGGCTGCCAAGTTTGGCCGGCCATCTCAAGGGCATTCGCACAGATCTCCAAGCCAGGGTAAGACTAAGTCGTCCGTGCAAGTGGACAGCTATTTACTGTTTTGTGAAAGGTCCAGACGCAGGGCCCTCTTTTTCACGAGATCGGGGTCTCGTTGTGGCAGGAGTGCGCGTTCAATGACAGCGGTACCATCGACTGTAGGTTGAAACCAGAACCACCCGCCAAGCCAGGTCTTCAGTATCTGAAAATTGGCTTTTTAAAGAAACCCTCGCACCCTTGCACCCTCTAAAGTTGCAAAACGCGCAACTATTGGGAACACCGGCTGAGGATTCCTGGAGAAGTCGGTTTGCAGTGCGGTAAACTATACCGCTGCCCCTGCCAGCTTGCTCCCTCCCGACCTTGCAGAACGTACTTTTGTAGGGTCGCCGGCTGATGCTCTTACATGCGATAGAGGTATCGGTGGGAGTCATGACACGTGGTATGTGCGCGTCTTCGGAAAGTACACCGGAACTGCGGCCATCATCTTTTAATACCTGTTTTCTGACCCTGTTG